AAATCTCATAATATCTCTCCTTAAAATTATTATTTTGTAAAATATATAGATATATTGATAATCTCAATGTCACTCTTATTACTCCTTAATACAAAAATTATGAGATAATTATGATAATTTTAAATTTGTATTTAAAACTTACAAATTATGAGACAGATTATTATAATTTTAAATTTATATTGTGTCGATTTTAAATTTAAATTAATAGATTGATTCGAGATCTTGTTTGATTTGTGATAATGGATACAATTCGTGAAGGAAATTCTATGGTTCGACCACCCCTACTTGACGGATCCAATTATTCTTTTTGGAAAGCTCGGATGAGATCTTTTTTAAAATCTATTGATGAAAAAGTTTGGCAATCCGTCATGAATGGGTGGACCGAACCAACAATTACCATTGATGGAGTTACAATCTCCAAACCAATTGATAAATGGGACACAATTGATTACCAAAATAATAGCTGGAATAGTAAAGCCATCAATTCTCTCTTTTGCGCTGTCACACCTGAAGAATTTAGTCGTATTTGTAATTGTGAAATCGCAAAAGAGGCTTGGGATATCTTACAAACTATTCATGAGGGCACTCCTTCTGTTAAACGCTCAAAACTTCAAAGGCTCACGTCTAGTTTCGAAAACCTTTCAATGAAAGATAGTGAGACCTTTGATGAATTTTATGCGAAGTTGAGTGACATTGTAAATTCCAGCATTAATTTAGGTGAAAAAATTCCAGAATCCAAAGTTGTGGGAAAAATTTTGAGATTCTTGCCCGATCGGTTCCAACCAAAAGTTACGGCTATTGAGGAGGCTCAAGATGTTGACAACCTCAAGCTAGATCAGTTGGTAGGAAATCTCCAAACTTATGAGGCACATAGGAATTTCAAAAAGAAACAAAAAGATATTGCTTTTAGTAGTGCTCATAAAGTTAGAGAGGATTCTGATGAGGATTATGATATAGATTCCAAGATTACGACTGCTTTTGTTAAACAATTTAAAAAATCTTTTTTGAAAAAGAATCATAATCTTTTGGAATCTACTCATTCTCATAAATCTAAAGGCAAAGATAAACTCAAAATTAATTCCATAGCCAAGAAGGAGAAAGGAAAGATACAAGGAAACTCTGAAAGACTCCAATGCTATGAATGCCAATGATTTGGCCACTTTGCTTCAGAATGCCTTACTCGTTTGAGGAAGAAGAAAGCCCTCGCCATCACTTGTGATGATGAATCAGAATCTGATGAAGATGAAAGTAACAACGAAGATCAAGGCGAAGATGGAGATAAACAATTCCTTGCTTTCATGGAGGCTTCTGAAGTTGAAGGACAAACAGATTCTTCGAAGAGGTTAGTTGAGAATACCACTGATGATGAATCCTCGGAGAGTGATCATGAAGAGCTTCAGCAAGCTTATGAAAAGTTGTATAAGGAATCTCTTAACTTATTCAAATTGAATGACAAACTCACAAAAAAACTCAAAGCATGTGAAAGTGAGAATGTCAAACTGAAAGAGGAGATTTCCGAGGCCAGGATTAATGCCATCAAGATAGCTGATGATCGACAAGTTCTTTGTGCAAAACTGTTGACTTGTGAGATAGAGAGGAATGAGCTACTGCAAACCTATGCCATGTATGAAGAAAAGATTGAATCTCTCGAGATGTCACAAGTTGCTTTGGAAGAACTAATGATCAAGAAAGAGGAAGAGCTCAAGTGTGCTATGGCTACCATTGGTCTTTGGAACAGAGGATCAAAGACTTTGGAGGATATCATTGGGTCTCAACAAATGAGTTGTGACAAGAGTGGTATTGGCTTTGGTGGTAAGAAAGAGCAAAAACAGAGTGCATCAATATCTCATGATTCAAGAACTCAAGGAAAGGAAGAACAAAAAATTCAATATAAGAATGGACTTCTCAAACTTTCTGGAGTTGGTAAGGTAAAAGAAAAAAAGGTACACCCTGTACACCCTGATTTTATTTGTCATCATTGTGGTATGCATGGTCATATTCGCCCTTATTGTTATAAGTTGCATGGGAGAGTGTCTCAAAAGGGTAGAAATTCGAATACTTTTTGGGTTAGGAGACAACCTTACATGTCCAGGCAGAATACCAAGATTTATGAGGGTGTTCACAATGCCACGACATTTACCAAGACCGCTAGACCTAATTTTGTTAAGATCAAAAAGATTTGGGTGAGGAAACTTGACTTGTGTTAATTTTTTTTATTTGTTTTAGCTTTTGGGTTTTTGTGTGTTGTTTTTAATTAAAAAAAATGTGTGCTTGTTTGTTTTTTTGTCTTGCTTTATTTTTGAAAAAAAAAAATCCCAAAAAGATTTTCTTAGTATGGTTTTGCAAGCTTGAAATTTTTGAGTGGTCCTTGGTGCATATTGGAATTGATGAGAATATCCATTACATGTTAATATGTGTGTGCATTCTGTGGTCATTACTCATGTTGGAGTGTGTGTTCTTTGATTAGTATGTCTCATTCTGTACACATTCTTGGATTAGCAAATTTTGGAGTCTTCTGCCTTAGTGATTATTTTTTTTGGACTTCTGGCATTGTATCTTTTGCTTTTCTAGAGGAATTGACCTATACTAGCATATATTGGGTGATGTTGAGTCTCTTAACCACCTACCATCCTTTTGCATCTCCATGGCTTTCCCC